ATGCTTCTATTGCAATATTTTTCTTCACAAGTCTCTCATCAACGTGATTCCATCACTTCTTTTTGTTTGTTACTTCTTTTGCATCAAGCTATCATATAGACCACTATAGTATTTATATCTTGTAGCACGAAAGCATCGTTGTATTTTCTTCGCTAAATTTAAAATGCTTCTTCCAGCGTCATGGTCACATGGACATAGCCTACGAGTGAACTCAATTGTATGACAGTGGTAGTAATGATATATCTACTAAAAATGATCCATAGACGAACGAAATCATCGATTTACCATAGCGTAGATGCACATGAACAATCAGTGGTTGACCAGAGATGAACAAGTCTGGTACTTTCTCAATCTAATCAAGTTCGAATTCGAATCATCCAATACTAAAGGATCGAGCCTAGAACAAGGTCCGAGACAATATTCATTGCAAGATCATTATTCTATTTTGTCACTGCACAAATAGTAATATAAAAATGTAAGTACCAACCAGAATAAAAGAATTGATACACAAAAGAGATTCGTATATTGTGATGCCAACATCAATCTATTGTGTTCAATTCATGTCTGTATATCTATTGTAGTGTACACAGACTCATCTGCGATACAAGTGATAATAATGTTGGCCAAGGTCTTCATAAAAGAAAAAGCGTGATCGAACTTTTGTCTGCCTAATCACAACATGATTTCACACTGTACTATAGTTTACTACTTAAACCAATTATGAAAACAATAAAAAAAAAAAGCATTCAGCACGAAGTCAAAGTTTTCACACTACACTTGAAATGCTATGCTTTCATTTCGAGCGGCGTAAGGGACGACGAAGTTAAGTCAACTAAAAGTAGATTTTATTTATCATAAATTATAAGTCACCTGTAGCAGAAACATGGGGTGCGAGTGTGAGGGACGTAATGAATCATCTCTACTAAAATCATTCCCACACTCGTACCTACTGAATAAGAAAGCATGCTTTGAAGCATTTTGACACATGAATTCTTTCGATCATCTGACGATCATCATTTAAACCAATGCTGAAAAAGCTCGTTGAGCTTGTCAATCAATTATATGTTTACCATGGTTGTTTTCACTAAAGCAAATCTATTAAGTGCTAGTCGGAGAAGTTTCGCGTTGAAAGAGGGTGCGTGACTGTCACTATTCATTAGTAACGAAGAGTCTTATTCTCAAGCAAGTGAATAAACGAGAGAGAGAGAGAAAAAAAAAGAAACGATGTTGATCTCATAACTATATTGGTAGGTTATTGTTCTTCCGCACGAGTCGATCGGCAAATCCATTCTGTATGCTGAGCAATACTAACCGTAAATTGTGTTTTAAAATGAAAGAAGGAAACATCGTTGCGACTCGGCGCTATTAAAAGAGAGCAGCGTGCACTGAGAAAACGCAGAGATTGTCAATAAACTTGCTCTTTCTCGAAAATAATTTTTGTTACCTCTACTCATAGAAGATTTTTTGATGCAGCCCTTGACCGATCGTCCGCTCGCGAAATATACCGAAATCGGGTCGAATGGCGAAATTCTCTTCGAATCGCCGACTATTCCATCCTTTATCAGCAGTGCATTTTTCAAGCCGAACAACTCGATGAGAAGCACACGATTGACCAGTGACGAATACCGAACTTTTGGCATTCCATTTCGATTTGACAATCCAAGTAAGAATCAAAAGTTCGATTCCATCAGTGAAACATCTTGTTTTTTAGATACATGGCACGGCTATAGTAAGTTTCCACCACTACCACTTTATCGTACCTGGAATCAAGAATATGGTAGCTACAAACCTACAATACACACCATGCCTACTATTTTTCGCCCACAATGTCACGCTTTCACCGATGTAAGCAGCACAAAAACCATCATCTGTCTGTATTTATCATTAATTGATTTTTTTAGATGCTGAGAATCGGAAAGGATTATCATCTTCGAAGTTTCAACACGAGTACCATCAATTTGCCATCGATATGGTCACCTTCCGGAACATTGCCAATGGCCATCGACCGAGAAAGCTACTTCAAACGTTCTCAACGTCAATCTAACAAATAACAGAAAGAACTTCTACAGGCTGTTGTATGTCTTTTTTTTTATTGAAAAAGGCTATGAGAATGGTATCGCCATTTGTATTAACAATAATATACGAAGTTCGAAGTAATATTTGCTATTAATTCAAAATGCTCAAAGAGAAATGTGCCTGAATCGAAACAATAAATCAAATGATAGAGTCACTGATTTCTGTAACTTTAAGTATTCTTTGAAAATTCAACTTTTTTTTTGTTTTTTCCATCCTCATCGTCGATGTTATTGCTAAAAACAGATATTTGGATGATACTTGTGAATGAGAGCAACGCTTAAAATTATCTTATCGATAAGTCGAGTATCTGTCTTTGCTGAATATCGTTGTTTACGCTAATATCAACGACAGAAACTGAATGAAAGACGAGTAAGATGTTCTATTCAGTTTAAATTTATTCTTCCAAATTTGACTTTTTCCATTTTAATTTCAGATTGTGTCTGTGGAAAGTGTAAGTAATCACAACTGATGAAAATATAGAGAGGGTTCAATAATATCTCGCATATGTTAAGCATGAAATAGACGATTATTCATCATGTGCCTATTTTAGTTGGTTTCTTCTCTAGAATTTAGATCATGTTGATAGATACGAAAGGTATTTTAGAATGTAACTCAACTGACTGAATTTAGCGCTATCGAACTCTGGCATTGCCTATAATACTCGTTGTCGAGAACGATTATCAACCATTGGAATGAGTGTAGGAATGAATGTGGGCACAGATGTGTGAGTGTCGTTGTGAAGGTCTCAGTATGGATGTAAGGGATGAATATGACTATGATGTGATAATGCTGAGGTACTTCTTTCTGTGAATGTTAGGGTGTGGATCTGTGTATTGAAAACTAATTAGTTAGATACGCAACCATGTCATTCAATAATAATGCATTGTAAAGCATTAAAACATCACTCATAAGTAAACATCAGAATATTATTTAATAACAATGTACCGCAACGCATTTTAATATATTTCATTATCGAATATTCGAATAGCATTTACTATCAGTGCATTATAATGTGTCAACAAGTAATTCATTAGTGAATAACCAAATATTGTTTAATAATAATCCAATCACATGCATATGATTTGTAGAATTCCCCAGACGAGTATTTGTCGACGACATTAATGTTTCTAACACAAATGTAACTGAGCCTCATTACCATCAATGATGCTTCTCTCTTTTTTCAAACACTAATACACAAAGATATAATAGCTATAGCAATGATGTAAAGAGAAAACTGGTACTACTAGTATTCTAGCATTTCTTTTTCGCTTTAGACATTAAAACTAAGTTGCTTTAATAATAATCGTATTTGTGCACCTGTTTTGATGTACGTCTCAATTCATTCAAGATATTAACTTTAATGATGTAGTATAAATAATACAATGGCAAATGATTAGCAACACTCGACAAAACTTTCTACAAGCCATGTTGAGAGTTTTTATTCGGGAAATCACTAATAATAAATGATATGTTGAAAAATCTACTCAGTTTGTTTTGTTCACGTTTCGTTCTTCTTACTATCAAAATCAGTCTAATATATCAATTTATCGAAAAAGAAGAATAAGATACAATCGAACCAAAATAAGAACATTTCAGATATAGTCTAGCGATTAAAGGCAACGCAAAAACTGCAACACGAGTTCGAATTCTCTACGAAACAGTTTTTGTTTTTTAATTTAACTTACTGTTCTTTTTTGATATTTTTTCTGAAAAATCTGATGTATCATCTCGGGATTAAAGTGAAAACATGGATAGTTGATCATCTGGATAACGAATATTAAACTTTAGGATCCGAGAATTATTTCCGAAGAATGACCTTACAAATGATTCAGAAAATAAGTAACTGTTATTATGAACACTATTTTTACGTTGTTTTTATTACAGATATCATTTGAGTATATGTAAAGAAAATGATTAAATATACAGGTGCCATAAATTTTAACACTATGAATATGATAAGCATGATTGATAAATAATCATTTTTATTAAAACAATGACTGGGTGTATAAATAAAATCAAATGAAGGGTTCCATATTTTATAATACTTCAAATAATGCTTTTCTCTTCCTTCAACTCGATTGAAACAAAACCAAACAGCTGCACAGTACTGAGATACAAAGCTATTTCAAAATTCATTATGATTCATTCATATTTTTTCACATGCTAATCTTTANGCACTTCATAGCTTAAATTGGAGAAGATGATTTAGCGTATAAGACATTGTTAACAAACATGTTAAAATTATCATGAAAACGATTTCGATAATTAGTACTCTAAAAACCAGGATTAATAAAATATTTCAGAGATCCTCATCAAGTTTAATACGTTAAGGTCATCTCTCTCAATACGTGTCGATCGATACCAAGACTGAGACAAACCGAGACCGAGTCCCGACCGAGACCGAGACTGGCCGAGACCGAGACTGACCGAGACCGAGACTGGCCGAGACCGAGCGGCTCGGTCTCGGTACATCCCTACGTATGACCCTCCTTCCAGTAGAGGAAATAAATAAGATAAAATCGTTTGTTGAAATTTCAAATTAATGCTCTTTTTCAATGTTTCCTATCACTTCATGAACATTGAAAATGTATCTTTTTCTTTCTTATCCAACCAACACAAATGTGTATGTTAACAAAGAAATAAAAAAAGCAATCCCGAAAACACACACGCACACATAACAACAACAAATAGAAAAAGAAACGAGAACAATTGAACCACCAAAAGAAAAAAAACAAGATGGACAAGTTGTTGCTAACAATATGAGCACATATGCGCAATATCGGAGAAACAAATAGAAAGATACAAAAACAAAAAAACAAAAACAAGAGCTGAAGCCATAATAAGAATGCTCACTGCATATCTTTCCCTCTTATGGAGTGATTGAATAGAAAAGTGTGCATTGAAAATGAAAAAAACAAAAATTATCACGAAGGTTCGCGGGATAATGGTAAAGAAAATTGTCTATGTAAATGATGTTTTTTATTTTTTCGATGTTGCTGATATTGTTCATCAGTAATAAATGATTGTGATTTAGATATAGGTGAAGTATATGAATGATCATGAAGTCGTTTCACATGATGATTATGATGATGATGTTTATCAAATGTGTGTTTCTTTTTCTTTTTTTTAAGGTTATTTATGAGCGATGAGGAGGAGATTGATTGTTCATCAGTAGAATTTGTTTGAGAAGATATAAGAGATAATGAATCTTCAATACGTTGTTTCTTTTTTACGGGTTGTTCAAATTCAGATGAATCATGATTTTCATTATTATGATTAATTGGATTTGAAATAGATGGAAGTTCATTGATTTTTGAAGATGATGAAGTTGTTTTTATAGTTAATTTTAATGATGATGAACTTGATTGTGTACTTGATAATGAAGATACAGAACAATTACTATTATTTATTGATGATAATGATATTGATGTTGAATTCGATTTATTCATTGGTTCTGAAGAAGTTGATTGACGATCTTCTTGAATCAACTAAAGAATAAATTCGAAGAGAAATATAATAATATGAGACAGAAAAATAATATATTACCTTATTGGATGAACCAGAAAGTTTAGGAACGTTCATTACAATTGATTCTCGTTTTTCAGTGGATACAGTAGCATTACCATTAATTGATTCTGTATTCGATGATTGAATTTTAGGTTTTGTATGTCCATTTAGTCCATTTACTAGACAAAATTTTATATCAATTAAAACGAGATCAAATTCATCCATTAGTAGTATATCCTCGGAGATATGGATCGACGTTTTTTACACAACCTGATGATATATATATATATATATCAAACGATTTTCGAATGAACAATAGGTATCAACTGGTGATAGACTCTTCAGCTGTCTTGCCAAAAGATTATCATTATACTGTAATGGCATAACGTAGCTCATAGACAGAAAGTGAAAATTTAAAATGAATTTCTTCTTTTTGAGTCTGATCAGTAACTCGAAGTAAATCGAAACTGTTCACTTCGGTTCTTTTTTAAAATCATTTTATCTTCTAGAATAGTACAATTGTATTTTTGAATTTCAGTACTAACAGAATGAAAATGTTGATCGTCAATCTGGAATATTTTTCGTATTATAATACCTTCAATCTCACATCAAGAATTCACTGATATCAATCTTAAATGCAAGCAGATATTTATTATTGAAAATTTCCACATTGCCACATCTTCATTTCTATAATTAGAGTTCATTAACATATCGATAAAAGTATTCGAGATAAGACTGTAGTCAAACACTACTAGAGCCCGCCAGACAAGTTCCACACCTCAAAAATTTCAATGAACTTGATCCGGATCCAAAAACTTTGGGCTCGATGAACTCTTAACACTACTCTTTTTCTCTCTCATGATTTAAGGCAAAGACTATACTTTCATGAACAATATTATTAATTTTTCACATACTTTGTCGAGGATGATTTTGAATAGGTATTTGACGTGGAGTAAAGAATTTCGAATTTGTTGTTATTGTATTCGATTGTTGTTCACTACTATTTAATTTACCATTTTGATAAACATTTTTATTTTTTGTTATTATTGTTGTTGTTGTTCCATTTATCAAGTTATTCGTTAATGATGATTCTGTTTCATTAATATAACATAAAATATAAGCTCCATATTGTGTTAAAACATGATTTAAATCACATTGTGTCATGGTTGTATCATCAGCTTTATACCAACGATTATTTGGTGAACGTACATACGAATAATAATGTCCTGAATGCATTGACGATCCAACATGAACTAAAACAGCATATAAACGATAATTTAATGATTGGTCATTTGAATGTTCTTCACTCATATATGGTTTAACATTTAAATATTCCGGATAACGAACAAGATGTGATAATTTATGTGAATTTTTACCAAATTCAAAACGTTTTAAATTAATTAATAAAATTTTTGATGCTTTATGTAGTGTATAACGTTTAATAGCTGGTACTAATTGTTTACATTTAATACAACGATATAAATTTTCACCTGATAATGTTTCACGACAAACAAATTGTTGTAATGATTGTCGTAAATCAGAATGATTACGTACACCAACAATCCATGTATATTGAACTTCAAATGTATCTGATGTATAACGACAACGTGAACATATGACACGTGAACGTAAAACAAGACCAAATAAATCATGAAGAAATGTTTGTGAATGACATAATTGTTCATATGATGATCCAGATGATGGACGTAAACGTTCAGGTGGCTGTGATGAACGAAGACATGCTTCAATAATTTTATCGATTAAACAAATTAAAAATTCACTAGCATCTTCTTGTCGACCAAAACGAAATGTTTTTGATATATCTTTAATACGTCGTACAATATTATTTGGATTAGCTGGACCTGTTGATGATGAATAGGAATTTTTTGTATGTATTAATTTAACAATTCGTTCAGCTTCACAAAATAAACAAAATTGTTTTTCTAATTTTATACGACAATGTTGATGATGTGAATTAGATAAAAGCCACTGAACAAGCGGTGGTGTATTCGCTAGACATTGTAATGATGCATTTATAAAACATGTATTACCAAGATTAATTAAACCTGAACCACGATCTTTTAATAATTGCCACTTCATCATTAACGATGAATTATTAGTATTATTATTTTTACTATTATTATCATGATTTTTTGGTTGATTATTATTACATGATGTTAATATGACATCATTAGTTATTGGTATGCCAATATTTGAATAACGTTGACGAAGTTGTTGTAATGGATTCTTTTTATATGGTTTAAATAATAATTTTTGACTTAAGATATTATGATGTTTATGTTCATTCGCAATACGTTCATTATTTAACGCTTTTTTATAGAAAGAAGAATCTGTTTGTTTTAATAAACGCGATGATAAAAAGCGTTCACAAACGTCACCAAGATCTGATTTAGTCATGATCTAAATACAAGTATAATAGAGCATATAAATGATTAAAAGATATTATTAAGTATGTAATTTCAATGTGATAGGTAATGGGTGAGCAGAAATTTTTGAGACGAAAATATTTGTTTATTGTTGGCCTGCTTCGAAAGTGTTTTCCAAGAAGTTAAAAGCTACAGATTAAGATCAACATATTGTACTTTTTTTGAATATGAGCTTAGAAATTTTATTTCACTTTTTATTTGAAAGTAGTGAGATAATCTTTCAAAAACCTGAAAAATGAGTTTAGACAGAAAGTGCGAGCCGAAGTTTCTTATGTACATAGCGGATCATTTTTAATCTGTTTAAAAGTATATCAGACAAACCGGAAACTATGAATGAAAATCAGAATTTTGTGCTCTACTTGAATGTGGGATTAGAAATAGTGTGTCTATTTATGTTCGAGATTAGTGAAGGAATTTTTTTGAAAGTGTAAAAAATTAGATTCTACTGTGAATCAATAGGCTTTTGCTAACCCGCATTAAAGTCCTTTTCGAAAGTACTGTAAAATATATTCGAGTCGGCTGCTTTGTCGAGTGGACAAAAAACCTTCAATAGTTCATGTTTTAGAGTAGCGCTTCTGTTGCACAAGCTGATAGATTAATAAAGGTGCCTACATTGACTTTCAGGTAGCAAACATAAAAGTACAAGTGTTCAGAAAAACTTTCCGTCCAAACTTTTCTCTGGGCCTTTCAAATGATTATCTCCTTAATCTCGAGAAAATTTCTAAGCCTACATTCAGAAAGAGCACCAAATTTTGATCATAAGTCATATAGTTGTAGTCCTCGAAAACATTTTCCAAGGAGTCAAAAATAAATAAATGTTTTGTCTCAAAAATTTAAGTCCATCCGTTATATATCTTGATTTTTGTTTTATTATTTCTTTATATTTATAGCGACCGAATAATGATAATAAAGAACTTTTCAATAACCAAAAAAAGACACGTGTTAGTAACGTGACGAGAGTATACACATAAACAAATACATACACACAACATTCATATGACGCAAGTACAAATGAAAAAGCAATACAAACCGCGAAGAATACAAATTTCTATCAGTTATATCAATGAAGATTATTGCCATACGTTAGATAAAATAATCTTCAATTGCGTTGAATTGTATTTCGAAAGAAAAAGTTAGCAATAATATTTTTAATGCTACGATTCTACACATTGACATGAATAGGTCGAAAAGGACCCTGAAATTTATCATTCATCCATCTCTGTATAATATATAAATGATAGAATAAGTTGTTTTCTGGCTTGAAAATAAAAAATAAATTTTAGAAATAATTTCTTTGTTTTTGTATTAAAAGAAAATTTTTTTTGTGAAAAAAAAAGAAATCTTTAGCGTCCTCTATCATTGTCACCAATAGAAATCTTTTGTATCTGTCTGTCTGTCTTTCATAACTTTGATGAAATTCATGAAGATGGATTCAAATAAAAACGTGTCAAGTTTTAATCGATTAGAAGCATTCATTCAATATTATCTTGATCGTATAACACCATTTGCTATTTTTCGTTGGCTATTTAATTTATTTTTATTAATCATTTTTTTCCTTCGAATTATATTGGTACAAGGTTTCTATATCATAGCATATGGTCTTGGGATATTTTTACTCAATCAACTTATACTGTTTTTAACACCTAAACTTGATCCATCACCAGTTAATAATATTGATGAAGATGATAATATACCAAATCTACCAACAAAGTCAACCGATGAATTTCGACCATTTATTCGTCGTTTGCCGGAGTTTAAATTTTGGTATATTACTTTTAAAGCATTAATTATTAGTTTAATTTTAACATTATTTTCAATGTTTGATGTTCCGGTTTTTTGGCCTGTGCTGTTAATATATTTTATTGTGTTATTTCTTTTATCAATGAAGCAACGTATAATACATATGATACATTATAAATATGTTCCATTTACATATGGGAAAGTTCGATATGAAGGAAAAAGTGTAGGACAGCAAGGAATCAAATTTTCAACAAATTGATTGTTTTCATTTTTTCTGTTTTGTTATATTTATAATTAAAATAGAACAAATGACTAGATCATTATTTCAATATTTTGCGATCTAATCAATTTTTTTTTGCTTTGAGATAGATATACATATAATGGGAATTCATAATTTAGCAAAATTAATTGCTGATCAAGCACCAGCAGCTATCAAAGAAGGAGAAATGGCAAATTATTTTGGAAGAAAAATTGCTGTCGATGCGTAAGTCATGACTTTCTTGTCATTGATCTATGATTTTCAAAAGTAAACTATTTAATACAAATGAATATTTTCATTATTCCATATCAAAAATACATTCGATAGGATGATCAGTTGATATCTGATGAAAACTAAGCAAAGATACTAAAATTTTCAAATCGATAGCATAGTTTCTACAAAGACTTCAGTTTGGTGTTTAATGGTCTACTCAATATCATTTTATAAAAATAATAATCTTAGATAATATTATTAAATGAACTATTTTAGACGAAACAGAACATATTCGCTTTTGATTGAATTTTAATTCTTAACAAACACTTATGTTTCTGAATAAATTCTTTTAACATAGACATTTGTAAAAATGTGGGCTCTTTCAAACTAACTATTAATTAAAAAAGTAAATAGAGAATATATCTATAAATCATGTGAGAAAATAAATCAAAAACTTCAGCATGAGCTATACGACACAAACGCCATCTATAGTGAAGTTTTCATCAAAATTATACTTTTAAAAACTCTTTCTTAAAAAATCGCTTTTCTAGACATTTTATTAAGTTTTCAAACGAAAACATTTCTTTTACTATCATCTAGAGATTCTGAAGTAGTATTCTTACTGTTTAGAACCTTGTCTTGAACTTCTCATGTAGTTATAGGAACATTTTCTTCATTTCTTTATTTGTACTCAATCATATAACTAACGAGAAGTAAATTTATGTTTTTTTTTCTGGGAAATTTGGGCATGTTTTGAAGAAACTTTCGATCGAGATTTTGAAGTCTCAGGGGTTATTTTTATTTAGTTTTCAAAAATGCTGCCACAATTCGGAGTTTTAAAACTAAAATACATGAAATATACTGAGGTTTTCAAATATTGAGAGTAACTTAATATACATGTAACATATAAAAAAAATTCATTATTCTGAGATACATGTGTTTTTATTCTGCGAAGTCATGTCATTAACGAATAGTTTTGCCTATATATATCTCAAATTATGAGGTTTCTTAGTATTATTGGAATAACTTCTTTGATGAGAAAAAGTACAGCTTCAAAGTCGCTGAGAGACAATGCGTCAATATAGAAAAGTATGCATCATTTGAAGTTCTGAACATTGATGATTGTACAAGAAAACAAAGCTAATCGTGAAGTTCAATCTTCAAAAATAATTGATTAAAATGGCTAATATACACAAGCGAGTGCCCATCGTGGCAGAAAATCTGTTGCGACTATACTGAATTAGAACTATTGTTACTAAGCCATAAGACGCATCGAATCATCTCAGAACGTTAGATTTGCGAATACTCAAAATTCATGCTGTTATGAAATGTTCGTTAGAAAAAAGAGCTGACACGCCGCAATGGTTGTTCGAAAAACCTGCTGCCGCGATCTATGTCTCTCGAAGATGTCTGTTAAGTCATTGAACCAATTGATTACGATAATCTAGAAAATCAACAAACCTTAGGTTTAAGGTTTTGAACACAAGTGATGAGAATTCACTTCCTGAGATCGAAATCTCTGAATAGCTTTCAATTATATGCCATATCAATTGTTCAGTGATATAAATGCATGGATATTTGTATGATTAAGATAAGCTATACTTATTAATGGTAATTGGTTGTCTCTTAATATTTGATACAATCGGCTGATGATTTCAATACCCGAAATTTCAGAACGGGTATTCTCATCATCCGTATTCAACGCATTAAACAAAAAACAAATCTATTGAGTTGATTGAAAATAGGCTTACCATACACAGAAATATTGATAGTTACACATTTCTAACATGTTCATATAAAAGTTTACCGAAAATAAAGATTCGGAGTTTTTGTTTTCAACTATCCATATCTACTTAAATGCTTTCATTCATATATGTGCGAAATATAATGATGATAATTAAATGGGAGTAGAAGATTGTCGTCATAACAAAGTGTGAAAGTTATGTATACCGCAGAAATGCCACGGTTCTACGAAATATTCATTGAATACAGTATGGATTTGTTGAGTTTAGACAGAAAACGTTTAGAGAAGAAAAAAATTCTGCTTTTGAACGAATTTAATTTAGTATTCTTGTAAATTTTCTCTATATAATAGTTCAATGTCTATTTATCAATTTCTAATTGCTGTTCGACAAAACGGTGAAAATTTAACAAATGATAGTGGTGAAACAACTAGTCATTTAATGGGCATGTTTTATCGAACAATTCGTATGATTGAAAATGGCATTAAACCGGTTTATGTATTTGATGGAAAACCACCACAAATGAAATCAAAAGAATTAGAAAAACGTCTTGAACGACGTACTGAAGCTGAAGCTGAAATGACTAAAGCAGCTGACGCTGGTAAATAAACATTTCATATAAAAAGAAAAGTATCGAAAATTTTCTTAGAAAAAAACAATATTTCCTTTTTTTAAGGTGATGAAGAAGCATTTGATAAATTTGCTCGCCGAACTGTTAAAGTAACTCGAGAACATAATGAAGATTGTAAACGTTTATTAAAATTGATGGGTATACCATATGTTGATGCACCAACGGAAGCTGAAGCACGTAAGATTTACTTATTATTTCTTTTATTCAATGATTATCCTATTTGGTTTTATTTAAGAATGTGCAGCACTTGTTAAACAAGGAAAAGTTTATGGAGTTGGAACTGAAGATATGGATGTAAGAGAAAGGACGACAGTGAATGAGGCTATTTTTCTGCTCCGTAACAAAACTCTTTTTTTTTTTAATCGTTTTGCAGTAAAACATAATGCCTACCTGCCTGGTGATATTCCACATGTTAGTTTTTGTACAGCTGACTAAAAGAAGAAGATACCATGAGCGAAAAACTAGAGATCAAATAGTATCTGAAACATGATTGTTTTTCTTGTTCATTAAACGTCTTTGTGTACTCTATATATTGATATTCGCAATCAGCACATCTAATCCTATCATAGAGTATATTTTTTCAAAAGAATCAAAGATAAAAAGGTTTCTGGGAGATTTCAGAGGCCAAAAATCTTTTGGTCAGCTGCACAAAAACTAACATGTGAAATATCATCAGACATTATTTCTTAGTGCAAAACGATAAAAAAATGCCAGTTTTGTTGTAGAGCAAAAAATAGTCTTATCAATCTTTGTCTTTTTTCTTTGTTTTTTTACTGTTTGTTTCATCTTATATTTAGGCTTTGACATTTGGTGCGGATGTACTTGTACGTCATTTGACTTTTAGTGAAGCACGGTTGGTTACAAAGAATTTATATATAAAAGAAAATATTTGTGCTTGAATTTATAGAAAAATGCCTATTCGTGAATATTCATTATCGAAAGTTCTTCAAAATTTAGGAATTAATTTTGAAGAAGTATATTAATCCTTTTTTTTTGATATTATTTAATTTGTTTCTTTTGTTTTTATTTAGTTTACTGATTTATGTATATTACTGGGTTGTGATTATTGTGATTCAATAAAAGGTATTGGACAAAAACGTGCACTTGATTTAATTAAACAATATCGTAATATTGAAACCATTATTAAACATATTGATAAAAAGGTAGATCTAATTGAATTTCTTTGAGTTTAAAATTTTTCTTTTATGTTTTGATTAAATAGAAATATAGTGTACCTGAAGATTGGGCTTATGAACAAGCAAGACTATTATTTAAAGAACCTGAAGTTTTACCAGCTGATACAACTGATGTTCGTTTTCTTGCTTGTTGATTTTTTTGTCGATTTTTTTCTATTGAATTTTAGCTCAAATGGACTGAACCAGATGAACAAGGTCTTGTAACATATATGGTTAATGAAAAAGGATTTTCGTAAGTAAAATTTCAAAGAACTATTAAAAAACTAGAAAGATGTTTCATGTAATTGATATGCAGAAAGATCAACGTTAAACACACATAGAACGTCTTGAGAAATTATCAAAAATACATCGTTAGAAGTGTTCTTCAACATGAATCTATGCATGCAGTTTGTATTTGTCTTTGTATGCAAATACTTTTAGACAGATGAGTTATTTTAAAATGCTCGTCTGCAAACATTGCTCTGATCCAAAAAAAACTTGACCTTTTGAAAACTTGTGTTCAATCGTGCAAGTTTTTCTGACGAATCATCTTCTTTGTATGGCATTCATATTCATAATTTTTAATTTTGAGTTAGTTTTTCAAAAAAATCAAAGCTATTTTTGAGCATTTAAAGAAGACATTTTTTCAGTTCAAAACTCTAAACACTAGGCATATTTTGATGTAAATATACTAATTAACCTTATAATTTTATGAGAAGTTAACTAATTAAGGAGAATTTTCTATTGTGAGGGACAGTTTAGTAATCTTACATACTGTTAATAAAGTAACCAAAACAGAAGAAATAGTTTTTTCTCAACTTTTCATAGGCAACATTTTCGATCAACATTGACAAAAATGAGGACTAAAACATATTTAAAACGACCAAACTTATTATCAAATAAATACATTAAAAAATCTTAAGTATTTTGCTGCTGTTAACAAATACAAATATTCATCTATCTAACAGCAATGCAAAAATTTTTTTTTCCTGAGACTCACATATACTGTCGAAGACAGTAGTGCATGCAAGTTGTAAGTCAGAGTTTTGCAACTTCTCTTCTCTTCCCATTACAGATCTTAGCTGTCAAAGACAACTGGCTTATTTGTCAGTTAAATCAATGGTTAAAATAACAATAATGTTAAATTCAGAAAAATACAGTACGAAAAAGAAAAATAACGAGTGAATTTCAACTAGACAAAAGTAAAAAGTACATAAAAAAAGGATTATGTTTGAGAGG